GTATATGCACTAAGCTAATCAGGTGTGTGGAAATAGAATTTTCCACAATTTGCTCCCAATTAAACTGCAAACTTTGGGTTAACTCTTCTTAATTAAAGCAAATCCACAAATTAGATTAGTAATTAGAAAGAAAATAAAAAGAAAAATTAAATAAAAAAATTCATAATCTATATCTATACTATATATTAAGGAAAATTGGGTTTCTAATGAAAAAAGCCTTGTGAAACTCAAAATTTCATACTATTTTTCTAAAATTCTTATTTTTTAAATAATTAAAAAAAATCTATTGACTAGCTTTTATTGAATTATTAAAAAATCTTATTATGTTTCAATTTACACATTTCAAAAGAAAAGTTAATTAATCCATTTATAAATTTAAATTTAGAAATTTGAAAAGGAAAGTTAATTGATCAGTTTTAAATTTTTTTAAAAAAAATCTTTTAATTTTTATTGAGTCATTTAAAAAAAATCTTATATTATGTCTTGATTTACACATTTTAAAAAGAAAGTTAATTAATCTATTTAAAAATTTAAATTTAGAAATTTGAAAATAATTAGTTTTAAAATTTAGATTTTTGTACCACTAAAATATAGGAATCAATTCACATATAAAATTCTTATTTTTTAAATAATTAAAAAAAAAAATCTATTGACTAACTTTTATTGAATTATTAAAAAAATCTTATAATCAGTGTGTTTGGTTTGAATTTTCTGGATTAGTTTTTTGAAAATTGACTTTTTGGTTTTCATGTTTTTTTGTTTTAGTGAATATTTTTAAAATTTTAAACATTTTTTTTACTTTTTTAGATGCACCTTACTTAGATGTATCTAAAAAATAAAGAATTATTGAAAAAATATTTAAAAAAATTAATAAATACATAAAAATACAAAAATTGTACTAAATTCTTGTATTTTTTTGTATTTTTAGTATTTAGTGAATTTTTAAAAGATTTTTTTTACAATTTTTTAACTTTTTAGGTGTATTTATGTTAGGTGTGTCTAAATAGTAAAAAAATTGCTTAAAATATTAAAAAAATTCAATAAAAACAAAAAAAAAAATACGGAAAATAATAAAATAGAAATTTCTGGAAAATATTTTTTGAAAAATGGAAACAAGCAAGGTTTCGATTTACACATTTCAAAAGAAAAGTTAATTAATCCATTTAGAAATTTGAAAATGAAAGCAAACTGATCAATTTTAAAATTTAAAAAAAAAAAGAAAAAGAAAAAAGACACCTTATAATTTTTATTGAATCATTTTAAAAAAATCTTATTATGTCTTGATTTACAGACTTAAAAAAGGAAGTTAATTAATCTATTTAAAATTTTAAATTTAGGAATCTGAAAATAATTAGTTTTAAAATTTAGATTTTTGTACCACTAAAATATAGGAATCAATTCACATCTTTCATAGTTTATTTCTCTTGATGTTTAATTTTTTAAATAATTAAAAAGAATTATTAGATAACTTTTATTCCCTTATAATGTGATTGATGATCCATTTTAATAATTTATTTCTCCTACCAAATTTTATACCTTTGTTTGGGAAGTTGGCTATTTTAATTTTTGACTATTTTAGTAGGCTAAAATTTTTGTATTTGAGAAAATTGTTGAATTTTTTTTAGTTGAATGTGATGTTTGTGAGAGAAAAAGTAAAATAATTTTGAGTTTAATGTGACATTTTGTTTTATTGTCTATTTCAACCTATTTTGTTTTTTTGTGAATTTTAGCCTAAACCCACCAATTGTAGTCTTTGCCAAACAAGGCCTATATAGTTTTTTTTTGGATTAATTACCTAAAAGTTCTATTTACATATTTATTAGTAGCAGCTTAGGTCCTGTCAAAAAGTTTTTGAACCAACAAATCTCATTTATATGTAAAAAAACGTTTTGCCTTTTAACCTAAACAAGTGTATATATAATAGCATTGCTGTTAACCTAGATCAACGCCAAAACCGAGAATGTTCTCAATTTCAAAATAGAGAATGATTTCAGTGTATAATTATCAAAATTAAGAAATTTCTCAATTTTTTTTTCTAGTATGAATTGAGAATATTATTAGTTTTAAAAAATTCTCAATTTTTTTTCATGGTTAAAATTGAGAATATTATAAACTGAGAATGTTCACAATTTCAAAACAAAGAATGATTTCAGTTTATAATTATCAAAACTAAGAAATTTCGTAAATTTTTTTCTAATATTAACTGAGAATATTATCAGTTTCGAGAAATTTCTCAATTTTTTCATGATTAAAATTGAGAATATTATCAATCTACTCTCTCTCTTACATTTACCTACTCCTCCTCCATCTACACTTTCCAGATCTGAAAATCTCCTAATCTAGTTCTAGATCTTGTATTTCAGACGACAAGTTTGAAATACCTTGTCTCCGACGAGAACAGTTTTCAAAACAACATCAACGAGTCATCACATTCACACCATTAGCAAAACACTTTTGGTCATTCTGTTAATAATATCATCATCGACGATGACGACCATCATCAAGCAGACAAAGAAGAAGATGATGATGATGATGATCAAGTAGTAGAATGCCCTGTCAGAAATAATGTTGTTGTAAAAACACCTAGTCTGAGGCAGCGGCGTACAAGAGAACGGCAACGACGTTTCCGACGTTTCCGTCTTTGCAAGAGATGAATGATTGTGAGCTATGGTGATTGAAAACTTTCTCTGCTATGGAGTTTTGTGTGAGAGAGAGAGAGAGAGTCTATTTGGTTGTTGCCATTGGGGAGTGGGTGTAAAAGTAAGAGAGAAAGAGAGAGAATGAAGACAACAATTGTTGGTAGCAATGGAGGAGGTATTGGAAGGGTAAATTGGTCTATTAAAAATTAATGAGACTTGAAGAAATAAATAATTTTATTTAGGACTTAATGGATAATAAGTTCATAAAATAGGACTTGTATGTAAATATCCCTTTTTTTTAGATGTTGTATGTCAATACAATAAAGGATCCAAAACTATTTTCAAATATTGATGATGTGTTTGGCTCATGGTTTTTGGTAGAAAATTTGAAAGGGAAAAAGAAAATGTGTGAAATTATGTAAAATATAATTATATTTCATTCATATTTCACCTATCTTTTTCCTTTCTTATTTCAAATTCCTACCCAAATCCATGAATCAAACATAACATAAAGTTGGGTACATATTTTTCAAATTGAAAATTTTGAATTAGTATTACTTTTTAAAATTGTGTACTTTAAACTCTTATCACACATATATCTCCATATAATAATAATTGAAATTTATTTTAGTTGCTATCTCAAAAATTAATTATAGAGTCAAAGAAAATTTGTAAGTCCTAAAGTTTTAAAGTAAGGATTTTATATTAGAATTTGTTCAAAGGTAATTCTCTTAATATTTATAATTTTTTTTATTGATTGATAAAAAGCACCATAAACATTAAGATATATTTTTTTTAATTTTATGATATTGAGTTATTAAAATATGATGTATTATAGCTTAAATCAAGAGTTGTTGGAAAAAAAACAATCGACTCGAATTAGATTTTCTAGATTAATTTTTAATATTTAATACAATATTGAAATCTCCAAACTACCTCATACCGGTCACGAACTGATAAAGACAAATTTTAATGATTAGGTAAAGGTCACATTAGCATAAATATTGAGTTGAGTAGCTTCTAGGTCACTTCTAATGTTTAGTCCAACATCAATAGTCAATCATAATCAATTTTCACATCAGAGTTATCACATACGACAATTTATAATTGTGAGTAATAATAGGGATATCAAAATTTCTATCAAATAAATGACTCAATGTCTCATATGGGTGTGGGGTCTGCAATTTTGTAGACTCCACACCCATATAAGACATTTGGTCATTTATTTGGTAGAAAATTTGGTGCTTATAACATTTTCTCACATTTTTAGACTTCACAAAACAAGAAAAAAAGTAGTACATTAACAAATGTAATTTACTACTATCATATGGTAATTAAAATTATGAAACTTATAAAAATGAAATATATTTATATTTTATAGTAAATATAATTTTTGTAATTTATTTTTTATTTTTTACTAATTAAATTACGACATGAAATTTTTTATTAAGAACTTAGAATACACAATTAATGACATCAGAATAAAATCTTCTCATATGTATAATTCTGATAAAAAAGAATAAAATTTAATTGATTATAAATCACTTTTACTATAAAAATTAGTGAAACATCACTCTCCAACTTTTTGTCCCAAGGGTGGTCCAAGATGTTTTTGTTTATTAGCTAAGGTTTCTTGATGAAATTTTTCTGTAATTATATTAGAAAAATTTTAAAATTTCTTTGTGAAATTAGAGAAATTTTTTCTGAAAAAATTGAAATTTCTCTGAGTCGGGTACAAATTTATCTGAGTTGAATTTTCTCTGTGAAAATGTTGAGGAACCCTAACCACTATGAAAATATTGTATTTTTTTTCCTTATAAAATCTTAATATCAGGAATCTTAAAAAAAAATTCCTATAATTTAAATAAATTTTATATTATTACTTTAATTTAGAAACTAATTTTTGATTATTTATTTATACCCGTAATATGTTAGTTTAAATTTATAACAAAATAAATCACGGATTTTTAAATTTTTTAAATTTAAATCCTGATTTTTTATTTTCTTTTAATTTAAACAGTTTCCCTATTTTCGTTAATTAAAATGAAAAAAAAAGAGAAGATTTTAGTCAGTAAACTTAATATTAATGCATATAAAAATTTTAAAATATCATTTTTTTCGTTAAATTTAATGACTAAAATATTATTTTTCTGTTAATTTTACTTAACAAAAATAAATAAATAACTTAAATTTTAAAAAATAAAAAATTTGAAATTATCGAAATATTAAGAACTAAAATTTTATTTTGTTACAAAATTTAAAATTTATTTTATTAAAAAAAAAAAAAATGGTAAACGTATTCTCACTAGTTGTTACCAATCTCTTGTAAGTTGTTCTGTATTTTTCCTAATATCTAGACTTTTCACGATCACTTCCTTTTAGAACGAAAGGAGCAGAAATCAAAGATCCCTTCCCCTCTCTCGCACTTTTTCTTTCTCTCTCTAGTTTGTATTTATGTTCAGAACTCGTGGACCAGTTTTTTATCGTGTGCTTTCACACGTCTTCTCTTTATCTATCTCTTTTTCCTACCAAAACCAAAACCAAACCAAACCCATTTCTTGGAATTCATTCACTTTCTTGTATTTCATCTGAATTTGATCATGGAGGATGCTAATGGTAAGACCCTTCTGATTATTTTCTTGGGATTTTCTTTATCTGTCTGTCTTTTATATCTATGTTATAGCATCTGAAGTTTTTAAATTTCTATCTGAATTTTTGTATTGGGTAGTTTTTGGATTGTCTATTTGTTACATTTCGATGACATTGCTCTGATTCTTGATTTTGTGGATCTATGATTTGGAAATCTCGGTTGGGTCTTTCTTGTTTGCTTAGTTTTGGGTCAAATCTGTTTTTGGGTATTTTTTTTTTATTGGAATTTGGTTTGAGTGATTTGGAGAGAAAAGATCTCGGTTGGGTCTTTCTTCTGATTATTTTATGGTGATCGTGACTTACTAAAATGGAACTAATTATTATCTTACAGATAGATAGATACATATTGCTATAGATATAATAGATAGTTTTTTTTAAATTAAATATGAATCAAATTCCATGTTTAACTTAGCATTTGAAGATTTTTTTATTATTATTATTTTTTATTATTTTTCAAACTATTACAATTTTATTTTGGTTTTTCCATATATCTATCTATATATATATATAATAAATTAGTTTTGGTAGGATTAGTTAATTATCTGTATTTCTTACATTTTTTTTAAATCAGAAAATTTTAAATTTTAATTAGTAGTTAGGGCTCTCACAACTTCATTAATTTTTATTCTTTGGGTTAGGACATAAATTGAGAGAAGTTTGGTGAAGATGAACGGTGTTATTTTTGCTGTGTGTTATTGAATTATTTTATCTCAATTGTAACTATTTAATTTATTTTTTCTTATCTTGTATCAGGCATTTTCACAAATCACCTTACTAAGGCCAAGTTTGGGAAGATAAGAAAAAGCCAAAAAGTCAAAAAGTTACTTAAAAAGTTAAAAAGTTAATACTATTCACCAAAAGTCAACAATTACGACTACACAACTCACAATCCTAATTTTCTCCTACAAACCAATTTTTACAAATTTTGAATACACATTTTTCCATAAAATGTCAAAAAGTTAACCCAAACATCTATATTTTTTTTCTCAATTTTTTAGTCCAAAAAGACAAAAAGTGCACTTATTTATGACACCCCAAACAACCTCTAAATTGCTTATAGGGACTTACGTGTAGGTTCTACTAAGTAGACTATCGTCCAATAGGTCCTATGATAATTAATGATATTTTTCATCATACACTATAAAAAAAAAAAGTCACTAATTGTTAATTTTCAGTGACAGTTTGAAAATTTTATCACAAAAAATGTCACTAATTATAAGTTTTAGTGATAGTTTAAGCAAATCGTCACACAAAAAGTCGCTAATTTTCAACTTTCAGTGACAGTTTGAAAAATTCGTCATAAAAAAACGTCACCTATGATAAGTTTTAGCGACAATTTATAAAAATCGTGACAGAAAAAAGTTACTAATTGTTAATTTTTAGCGACGTGTGTAAAAAATCATCACAAAAAATTATTTTTAGCGACGATTGTACTAGGATTTAATGAAAATTAAGTCAAACTATCAGGACCTATTAGTAGTTTTTTTTTTTTTTTTTAATGATATTTTTCATCATACACTATAAAAAAAAAAGTCACTAATTGTTAATTTTCAGTGACAGTTTGAAAATTTTATCACAAAAAATGTCACTAATTATAAATTTTAGTGATAGTTTAAGCAAATCGTCACACAAAAAGTCGCTAATTTTCAACTTTCAGTGACAGTTTGAAAAATTCGTCATAAAAAAACGTCACCTATGATAAGTTTTAGCGACAATTTATAAAAATCGTGACAGAAAAAAGTTACTAATTGTTAATTTTTAGCGACATGTGTAAAAAATCATCACAAAAAATTATTTTTAGCGACGATTGTACTAGGATTTGATGAAAATTAAGTCAAACTATCATGACCTATTAGTAGTTTTTTTTTTTTTTTTTTAAAATTCAAACTATCAGGACTTTTTTTTTTTTTTTTTTTTGTAAAATTCATACTAATATAGAGGTCTTTTGCATATGGACCAAAATAAATGTAAATGGGTTAAAAATGTAAATCATATGATACATACATACAATTGGGATTGGAAGAGGATCAAGTTGGCCCTTGCAAATAGCTTGATGCACTATCTCCCTTTAATCCTTTGAGCGAAAAACGGCAAAAGAAAGGAAAATCCATGGACCAACCCCATCATCTCCACCCCGTAGGAACTACGAGATCACCCCAAGGACGCCTTCGTCGTCTAGGGGTCACAGATCGACCATAGAACCCTGCTTAATAAGTGGAACGCATTAGTTGTTTGCTCTCAGGTTGGGCAGTAAGGGTTGGGAGAAGGGCAATCACTTATTCTTAAAACCATCGTTCTTAAGACCAAAGAGTCGGGCAGAAAAGGGGAGAACACTCACTGTTCCTGGTTCTTCTGTAACTGGATCTTCCGGAACTATAAGAATCCTTAGTTAGAATGGGATTCCAACTTAGCACCCCTTGAGTGAGATTTTGAGAAGAGTTGCTCTTTGGAGAGCACAATACGATGAAGGTTGTAAGCTGTGTTCGGGGGGAGTTATTGTTTATCGTTGGCCTCTATGGTAGAATCAGTCGAGTCAGTCGAGGGACCTGAGAGGCGGTGGTTTACCCTTCTGCGGATGTAAGTGGTTCGAGTCCGCTTATATCCAACTCATGAACTTAGCCGATACAAAGCTATATGATAGCAACCAATTTTCCAGATTTGGTGGTTCGATTTATGATTTATCATTCATGGACGTTGATAAAATCCTTCCATTTAGCAACACCTTAGGATGGCATAGCTTTCAATTTTTCATAATTGTATGTATCATATGGTTTATATTTTTAAGCTATTTATATTTGTTTTGATCCATGTGCGAAGAACCCCAACATCATTTCAAAATATGATATAAAGTCATGTGATTCATTTTGCATCATGTATTTAAAAAAAAAAAAAAAAAAAAAATAGTAAAATTCATGCTAATATATTTGAATGAATTTTATAGAAAATAATTTAAAAATACTCGACATATTGAATCACGTGACTAAAATGTTTATTTTGAAATGATACAGGGATTCTTTGTACATGGAGCAAAACAAACCATAAATGACTTAAAAGTGTAAACCACATGACACATAATTGTGAAAAGAAATCTATTTATTAACATTTTACAAAATACATGGTATGAAACAATGTAATGGTTGAAAAAAAAAATCTATGTGGATGAATTATGCAAACCTAATAAGTAAGAGAATGTTGTAGAAGAGAACACTGGTATACTGCGAGACAAAGTGGAAGAGAACATTAATATTGTCGAATACAATTACGGCTATATAGGTTAAAATGATTAGGGTTTAAATAGATATAATTACAATAATTAGAATTTTTTGTTTTAGAAAATCAAGAAGGATATAAAATCATGACAAGATTTTTGTTCAATTAGTAGAAGCTTCGTAGAAAATTACGATATTTCCATTATAGTAAGCTTTAATATATGGTTACATCTTGTTAAATATATGGTACTAAAAGTTTTCAATTGGGAAGTTCTGTTCATGGCGTTGGTTGCTTTTAAGGAAATGAAAATTCTAGTGAATTGTTTATCATATTTAATGACACATAAATTTAAATTTTGAAATGGAAAAATGTATATATTCCTTTTAAAAGTGATAAATTATCATTTTCCTTATTTTTATGATTATAATTAGATTCTAGTAAATTGCATCATTTTACACAAATCTAAATTTTGAAATGGTGAAGGAAACTTTCCTTTTCAAAGTCATAATTTATGGGTTAGTTAGAGTTCTTTATGGGATTATTAGATTTTTTTTTTTAAATTTTTTTTATTTATGATTAAATGAGAATTAACCAATAGAAAAAAAAATTTAATTATTAAAAAATCATAAAGTTTATTATGAGATTTTGGAGGTTCCACACCCTTCATCTTTGAAAACTTCCTTTTGCTTAATATATATAGATTATTTGATTTGTAATTAATTATTTGAAATTAGAAAATTAGTAATAAAAACGGTTAGTAATTTTGTGTGTGTGAACTTTCTTTTGCTTAATATATATATATATATAGATTATTTGATTTGCAATTAATTATTTGAAATTAGAAAATAAGTAATAAAAATGGTTAGTAATTTTGAGTGTGTGATTTATTAATTATTATTTTTTAAATTGCAAAACTTCTTTGTTTGATTGTAAGGAAGGAATGATTAATTTTAGGAATAAAAAAATGCCTTCTTTGTTTAATTTGTAAAATTGGAAAAAGAGTAAAATCATATATGAAATTGAGTGTGTGATTTATTAATTAATTTTTTAAATTGAAAAATCAAGAAATTGAGGTTGAATATATGGAGCTCTTACATCCCTTCTCATTTAAACCCCATTTTCCTTAATATATAGTAGATAGTATAGATAAAAAGGCTAATCCCTATAAAAAGGTTAATTTGGTAATATAACATTATATATATATATATATATTCTTTTATATAGCTTAACCAAAATAGTAGAGAAATCAATGTAATTTCTTTTCTTTTGTCTCTTAAAGAAATCACAATATTTTCTTTTCTCTCATAACTTGCATAATTATTTCTTTTCTTTTTTTCTCTCCTAAACATAGTGTTTGTGCATACAGTACTCCAAGTTTTTTATGGCACTTCTATTTCACTTCTCTTTCTTTTCTTTTCTTCTTCACTTCTTTCATTTTCATTTTGGTTCGAAGTCTTTTAAAAAAATGGTGTGTCATGGAACAATAATCACAAATAAGTATTCAATTCTTGAACCATACTAGGAGCTGATAGTGTTCCAATTTTCTTTAATTGGTTCGTTTTGAATTATGGTTTTCTACATCAATATGTGGAGCATAGGCAAAAAAACCATTTTATTACCCATTTGATCACAAACATTAAGGTTTCTTGTGAACTTCTTGAAAAAGGGTTCTTCTGAACAGAGTGAGAGTTTTTTTCTAGGTGGATATAGATTACTTCCATTGCAATTTGAATAATAAAATTCTTGGATAAAAAATG